CCTCTGTATATTTTTAATATAAATCAAAATATTGCATCTTCCTGTTTACATGCTGCACAAAGTGGAGCATCATCAGATACTGGCTCTTTTCTTTAGCACCAGGCAGTGGTGGACTTAAGTCGTGTTCTTAAAAAAAAATCTTCCTCTTCCCTCTTTCCCATCAAAAATGTAACTGTGAGTGAAGTTTGGATGCTCTCCTTGCAGGAGAAGAGAATGCTTCTGGCATTGAGGCCACAATGTCACAGGCATCTTGTCAGCAGTTGTTTTGCTAGTGCACATTTACTCTAGGAAACTCCTGTGACGAAGTGTCCAGCTGCTTACTGCTTTGGTTATGGCTCTTGGCCTGGCTGGGACACGAAGCTCTCCTATGTGGAAAGAGTGGAGGAAGACAAGGAAGGACATGGGTGCAGAGATGGGAGTCTGCCTTGAGGATGGTTACTGCCTGCGTGCTCCTGGGGCAGCCCCAGCTTGGGGTGAGTAGCGAGCAAAAGGGGGTTCTGGTTCAGTGCAGGCAGACTGGGGAGAAAAGGCCTTAAATATCTCCTCGTACGCCTTTCTGTGGGTGGCCTGCTCCTTCCCTCCTGCTTAAGTCCTTATTGTGGTTCATCTCTAGTGGGAGAGAAAGGAATCTTTCTTCACAGGGAGCCCTTCGTTCAATCTGGGGTGGAGTGGGGCCCTCCCAAAGGTGAGTTTTTGTTGCCTCCACTGGCTTTTCACCTTCTTCCATTGGCTGCAGCAAGGTCCTGCATGTGGGTGGTTGGTTGGGAGGGAAGTGCTGGGAGCCTGCTTTCTGTCTACATCAAAGGCCAAGCTGCTTTTTGAAATCTCAGCTGTTGAAGGAGGGCAAGTGCACAGGCTCCAGCACCTCAGAACAAGAGCCAGGGGAGAGCGACCTTCCCCATGTTGGAACAGACTTGCTTTGGGCTGAGCCTGGAGCAGCTGGCAGTCACTGTGCAGTGCAAGCCAAGGTTGGGACCTCCCTTGGCTCCAGTGGTTCTGCCCGGGCAGGGGAAGGAGACAACAGGGTTTTCCTGGGAAGCTTTCTGTCCCTGTGCTCTGCTGCTGGGGCAGAAGCAGCCTGGGTAAGAGCCCAGCACAGCAGGACACTGATACAGGTGTCTGTCCCTGCCTATGGCGTTCCCTTTGCTCTTTGTCTTCTTCCTATTGAGTAGACCCTGACACAAAGCACAGAGCACTGATCATGGAGATGATATGCAGGAATCAAAAGAAGTCTGGGCCAAACTTTGCTCCTTGCCCTTTGCCTCCCATTCTGCATCTCCCTGGATGTCTTGGGCCAAATGTGGTAGTCTTTGTGGAGGGATTCCACCTCCAGGGTGATGCTAATCCTCTGCAGCTGCTCTGTAGTGTGGGGTGGGTGGTGCTGGAGGTGAGGGAAATACTTATTTTGAGTTTTGCCATTGGCCACCACCCAGGAAAAATGAATGACGGTACTGGGGACCTTGGCCACTTCTGCAGGCAGGGAGAGCTGATCTTCCTGCCCAGCTGGCGCCTGCAAGAGAGGGGTGAAAGCTTCCCCTGGCAGGCTGCAAAATAGGACCACACAAGCAAGACTTTATTTAGGTGAGGGAATGGCTGTACATCCCGAGAGCTATCCTGGGATGTGACAGGGAGAGCCTTGGAGGTGAGAAGATAATGGACGCGAAGTTGTGCTGAAGCTGACCTGCAGACTGTGCATTGCCACTGGGCCCTCAAAAATTACTTTCCTCCCTGTAAGGTGAAGGGTCTGGCACTGTGGGGAGCTGGGCTGGCAAGGTGGGTGTGAGGGGAGGTGACAGGCATAAGCAGTGTACTCATGTGCTGCGCTCAGTGCATCCCACCAACACCTGCCCAGCGAGTACCCAGAGCACAGCTCTGCCTGCAGCGTACACAGGCAGCAGGTTCAACCCTTCCCAGGGCCCCACGGCCCTTCCCTCTGTCCCCAGCATCGTTTCCTCCGGCCTTGGGACCGGCCAGTCGCTGCTTGGCATATCCCAGCCCCTGTTCTTCCTCTGTACCAAGCCCGCCTTCCTCTCTGCTTTCTGGGAACCTCTCCTCAGCGGTGCATGGGGGATCGCACCCTGGCTTGCAGAGGAAGAGGAGGAGGCAGGAGGAAGTGCTGTTTCTCCTGTGATGGTGCCATGCAGGCACCATGCAGAGAGCCCCTGCCAGCCCTGGTCACCACCATCACTCAGGCTCTGGCGGCGTGGGAAGCCCCATCCTGCAGTGACAGGGCCTGGACGCTGCTGAGCTCCTGGGGTCTTTTCCAGGTTGGGCTCCTCCAGTCTATTTTTGGGAAGCTGGGAGCTGCCTGGTGGGGGTGGATCCTGGCAGGGCTGCCTGGTGCCTGCCAGGGCCAGGCTGAGTGGGACTTGCACTCCCCCAAAGCCACCAAAAGCCCCATCCCTTGCAGCAGGTGCATCCCTGCCCTCTCTGGGGTCTTGCACCCCTTGGTGACTGGAGGCAAGCTGACCCCGCTGGGGGCATGCAGGGCAGAGTGGAAGCCTCTGGCAAAGAGCCCCGCCTCTGCTGAAGTGCCGAGCTTTGTCTACGGCAGGGTCCCTCATTGCTGTCCATGAGCATTTCCAGATGGCCCTGGGCTCCTGGCACTGGCTCTGCTGCAGCATCTGGGAAAAGCAGGAGGGGGTGGGAAGCGGTGTCCCAGCACGCTGAACCCAGGCAGCCGTGGCCTCTGCTCCCCGCGCCGTTAATTCCCCCTGGGGAATTGCTCCCAGCCCCTGTCCCACCCCGAATCAGCAAGGAGCCCTCTGCCTTGTCGAGGGACTGCCCAGGGAAGAGCATGCCATGAGCCTCTGGCCCTGGGCATCCTTGGCCAGCTCAGCTGGCTTTCCCAGTGAGCTTGGCATCTCTCTGGGTACTGGGCTTTGGGGATCCCACCCCTGCATCCTGCCAAGCCCTCAGCGCTCCCCGGGAGCCAGGGGAAACGCAGCTGCCGTGGGAAATAAATCTGTTGTTGGAAATGCATCTGTCATGGGAAGTGCATCTAGTGTGGGAAATGCAGCTGGAGCTGCCTTTGTGGGGGTGGGGAGCGGCAAATCCCAGCCACGCTTTTCTCCTGCCTTGCCTTTTGCCGCGTTTGTGCTAATTTGGTAGCTCCTGGTGCTGGTTTGGCCCCGGTTGAGGGCAGGCTGGGGTGCCGGGCTGCCTGCAGCAGGGATCCCATTCTGCAGAGCTGTAGATCCTCCCATGGCCTTGGGGAGGACCCACGCAAGTGCAAATCTGGGCAGAATGGTAAAAACCAAACTGAGAGGAGGTAAAAGCCAAGGAATGTGACCCAGCATGGCCTGGCTGATGGAATACAACAGCCCACAGCTACTTGGAGACCTTTTTTTCCCCACCCACCCCCCCAATTCTTCAGGGTTTTTCTGTCCCTGATTTTGGCTTCTTGCTTGGCTGCAGTGATGTGCTGGGTCTGAGCCAAGTGTGTTTCCCAGGGAATGGGCTAATGGCGGGGAGTCACTGCCCAGTGTGGGCAGGGATGGAGGCCAGGCCAGGGGAGGGGTTGCCCAGGCTACAGGGTCTCCCCCCCACCAGCACGGGCAGCCCCGGGAAAGCAGGGTGAGAGCCCAGCATCGGTGCCTTCCTTTTAAAGTAATTAGTGGCTGATGAGTAGTGGGGTGGCTCAGGGTAATTTAGTGCCGGGAAGTGGCTGCAGCCAAGTCTTGGGCGCTGAGCCAGCAGCTCTGGGTCCTAGGGAGGGGGAAGGGGGGGCACAAAGGCTTCATCCCCACCTGGGAAGAGGGGGCTGCCCTCCTGCCAGGATGGGGATGGGGGCAGAGGGGCAGCTGGAGCCCCGGGGTGGCAGGGGGAAGCAGGGCAGGGAGGGGTTGATGGTCCCTGCACGAAGCTCTGTGTTAGAGCCACCAGCCCGATGGGGAGAGCCTAGCAGGGGCACTAGGTGCTGTCGGGGTGCCAGGGGTTCTTGAGGTGCACAGCTGGGTGCTGCCAGAGGAAGCTTGAGGAGGGGAGAGAAGGGGATGCTGGCTGGAGGGAGTCCAGTCCCACAGGGAGAATTCCCCCCCCCCCCGACTCCATGGGGTCACACACACATCAACCACCTGGCACTGGCTGCCCCCCCACCAGTGTATTAACTGCGCCACCCGCCCTGAAGCTTCACCCACGACTTCAAACCAGCTTCAGCTCTCACCACCATGGTAAGCATCCCCAGCAGAGGCAGGGAAGCTGCTGTCTCCCATGGCACCCGCTGTGGTGGAGTTTTTCTTCTCATCAAAGGCTGAGTAACACTTTTCTCTGGATAAAGCCAATTTCCCCACTGCCCTCCCCAGGCCTCATCTTTCCCACTCCTCATTATTTCCCCAGTCTCTGCAGCGACAAGACAGATTACAGCCACCCTCTACCCCCCAGGAAACCCACCAGGGCCGTGTGGGGACAGGGAGCCGAAGCACCCATTAAACTGGCTGCAGGAGGGTCCCCGCAGCATCCCCCGGCTGCCCTGGGAAGGGAGGTGGCCGCCCGGGGCTGGAGCATGGTGCTGGCCGGGGGAAGAACAAGGCTGTCTGTGTTCCCAGCCAGGCTGTTGCTGCTGCCATGGGAGCTGGTGAAAGGCAGCTCTGTCCGCTGCCGTTGCGGGGAAGTTTTCACCAACCCCCCCCCACCCAAAACGCTGTAGCCCCCAGGCAGAGGCTGCTGTGAGGACATCGCTGGTCATGGTGGCCCCTTCCCTGCATCCCCCAGCATGGCACCCGGCCAGGGTGGCACCCCTGAGCAATCCTCCCTTACCACAACGTCTGCCAAAGCTCGTGCAGGGCAGCTGGCAGGTCTCCTGCCCCCACCCCACAGCAGAAAGGACAAGGATGGCACCATGGCTCTCCACACACCCTACCTGTTTAATACATACACAAGGTGGCCATGCCCGCTGCCCTGCCCATGGGACTGTGTGTCCCCAGGGCTGTCCCCCACGAGAGGCAGTGTCCGGGCTGTGCTGAGCCCACGGCGGGGGGGGGGG